TAACACATTCAACCTCTATACTACTGCATTAACCCATTCAACCTATACTACCGCGTTAACCCATTCAACCTATACTCCATCACATTAACACATTCAACCTATACTACCGCATTAACCCATTCAACCTATACTACCGCATTAACCCATTCAACCTATACTACAGCATTATCCCATTCAACCTATACTACCGCGTTAACCCATTCAACCTAAACTACCGCACTAACCCATTCAACCTATACTACTGCATTAACCCATTCAACCTATACTTCCGCATTAACCCATTCAACCTATACTACTGCATTAACACATTCAACCTATACTACCGCGTTAACCCATTCAACCTATACTACCGTGTTAACCCATTCAACCTTTACTACTGCATTAACCCATTCAACCTATACTACCGCGTTAATCCATTCAACCTATACTCTATCACATTAACCCATTCAACCTATACTACCACGTTAACCCATTCAACCTATACTCTATCACATTAACACATTAACACATTCAACCTATACTACTGCATTAACCCATTCAACCTATTCTACCGCGTTAACCCATTCAACCTATACTCTATCACATTAAAATTGTGAATTGAAATTTTGCATAATTCAAAATCAGAGGAAAACTAAAAAGATTTTCAATTCTGGTGCATAAATATTATAGATTTCAATATCACAATGCAGTATTGGAAATTAAATTCTTGCAATGCAAGCTGCACAGCAAGTTCCCCTTCAAGGGTTATTTTTGTATGCAAATGATATGCTAATGAGGAGCCTCGTTTTGAAATACGAAAAAATAAAGTTACTGTAGACAGATTTTTTCACTTTAAAAAAATATTTTATTGCTTTGAAACAACAATAATAATAATATTGTTGTACCAATGAATGATTTTAAGAGAGAAAATAGCAGCCATTTCACAGGCACTTTAATAGTAAAAAAACATAGGAAACCTAATACGTAGTAAGCGTTTTGTTAGGATAAAACAGTTGGATATTACACAATAATATTGTTTAGGCCGTACTGATTTGATACACTGGTGACATCATCTGTGTCCAAAACTGTCACGAGTGCGCCATAAAGGTAGACAAGATAGAAAACTCACATTTATTATGAAATATAACTTAACATACTAAGCATGGTTCCATTTGCCGAACCTCTGCTTAGAAAGTAGCAATTCAAGCCCTGTTTACCATCCTCGTAGGTCGTTAGGGCATATATTTACTCATTTTTCTGCTACTTTATATCATTTCGGAACATAGGGATTTCAAACACATGAAGTAGAGAAAAGTAGAGAGATCGAGAGCCTCAGTGTGCAAGCATATCTTAGCCGTCTATTCCATGGTATCGATCGCCTTTGACCAACATCATGGCAAGGCCGATGTACTTGAGTGAGGGCGCCGGCCGCCGAAGGGGCTCCGTGTGTAGGCGTCATTGAGGCCTATGTCCCGTGGTGAGTCGTAACTTAATTACAACACATCTCGGGACAAGTGCGACATGTTGCCCAAACGGTGTATTGATTTCCTTTGTGACAATCCCCATGGGTACTACAGGTGGACCTCTTTTTCTGTTCATTTCGTTTGGTGAATATTTTTTAAAAAGTTATATTTTTGACGCCGTTTTAATGCAGGTTTCCATTCTGTAGGAATTGCTGACGCTAAACCATAATATTTAATTTAGTCTGGAACTGATTGAATGACAAACCTCCCCATTCTCATCAGTCAAATCACTTACGTACTTCACCCCGTGGTCAAACCAATTGCGGTAAAATATTGATTTTCCATCAATAAGTACGTACTTATTGTGCAATATTACCCGGTATATGCATACCTGGTTTAAGTTCGGCAATCTTGTGTGATTTTTGGAACTCTGACCAGTGACTAAGAATTTCATGATAAAAAATAGGTATCTTGACTGAGAGCGAGTAAATCGAATAATTACAATTCATAAGCAAGGCCAACTTTCCCAATTTATTAAAATAATGGTTTGGAAAGATGACCTAGATTCTAATATTCTGTAATGCTTTATTCATTAGTTCAAGATCTAAACAGTTAACGCCACCTTGAGAAAATGGTATTGTTCTGATATGTTTTTTTTTCCTTTCCACAGAAAATTAAATAGATATGCGCCTGCTTCCTTAATACCATTAACTGGTACGGGTATACTATTCATAATGTAAATTAACTGTGAGGCTCCGAAGCATTTGCCCAGTAATGTTTTGCCTTGTCGGGTTAAATCCCTCGATTTCCATATCTGAAGTTAATCTTTCATTTTTTTAATTTTTGTCCAAAAATTAAGTTTTTCATTTTCGTATTTATCGTGACCCACATACACCCCAAGTACCCTAACGGGACCCGAAGACGGCGATAAGCCCCGTGGAAGCACCCATCCCCCATTCTGATCGCCTACTAGAATTGGTTCTGTCTTCCGGACTGATTACTAAAATCAGATAAAATGTTTAGGGAAATCTAAATGGATCAGCTGTCTAAGTATGAGTGTCGTATCGTCTGCACAAGCAGATATTTTTCGCTGGTATTCGCACCATTCAATAATGTCACAAATTAGACGAATATTATCTGTAATACGTCTGCCTTTTATAAAGGCGGACTTCTCTTCGTGGATAATAATAGGTAATACTTTCTTTAGTACAGCGGCTTGCAAGCTTATAATCTGTATTTAGTAGTGAGATTGGTCTCTTCTTAACTTATAATTACCACAACACATCTCCGAACAAATGCCCAAACGGGGGTATTGATTCCCTTTCTGACAATCCCCCATGGGTACTACAGGTGGATTTTTTTTTTTCATTTTGTGATGATGTTTTGAATTCTCTAAGTTTGGTGAATATTTTTGTCATTTTTGGTAACAAGTTATATTTTTGACTTCGTGTTGAAAACCGCAAGTCTGATTGCTTTGATAACATATAGGTACTACAGGCGATCCTCTCTCTGATTTGTTCATTTCATCATGATATACTGGTATTTAATTTTCTAACTTTGATTAATATTTTTGTAATTTTTTTTAAAAAGTGATGTTTTCAACTTGATATTTAAAAACCGCAAGTCAGATTAGTCTGATTGCTTTGATATTATATATATAGGTACTACATGTGGTACTACAATGCACGCCTAAATTTTAGTAGAAAAAGTATTTCACTGACACAGTGGAGGTAAAAACACCCAGCAAGTTCATTATGGAGACAGTTAGCGCAAAACTAAAGAAAACAAATATTTTGCAAAGTTTTTCTGCCACAGCCATTCCCATAATTTCTATTGGTCTCCTCCAAAATGATTACATTTTCAGTGAAATGAAGAACTTGCTTCTCAAAAAACAATATTGGCCAGTTATTAAAACAAATTGAATGCGGCTCTTCAATGTTCACAAATATTTTATTTGAGTTTTGCTACATTGCCTTGATTATTAAATATCATTTATTTGTATTATGAACTTATAAGACTAAAAAAATGAATTGCTTTTAACAATTAATGTGCATTTAACAACATACATTGTTAACATAAACGACGTTTAAAATTTGACCATTTACATGGAATATTGTTGTTTTTGCGCCCTCACGTGTCAGATAAGCGAAATGTTCAGACCTGCGGCTGAGATCTGATATATGGAGGACGATAATATTCGTTTCTAGTATATATTCTTGAAAAATATAGCAAAGGCTGATATCCTGGTTGAGGGTAAGATGTGATTTTACTTTTTTGTTACCTCCCATTTTCGTTTTTTCTCCGTTGTAAGGTTAGTGGCGCTCAGGCAAGAGTGCACGGGGACGGCAAACCAGACCGAATTATTTGTTGAATGGTATCCCTGCTGAAGAAAATGGACGCCATCATTTTCGTCGCTATTTCCTTCTCGTCGTCCACACATTCAGAAAATCTCCATAAAATGACGATTTGGCGGTAGATCTAATAACGAACATGGGCAATTTTTGTGTTAATCTTTGATAAATTGTGTTCAAATCCAATGTTTTGAGTGGATAAAATTTGTCTGCTGTGAGTAGGGCCTACATGTAGCTTACGTGGCCTGGCCTTTCATATGCAAATTTTTGATGTTATTATTAGCTGATGCCTTGTGCATTTCTATAGACTCTGGAATGTTCATTGGATTCGAAATTAACTAATAACAAAAACTTTCGCTTTTGAATTTGTATAACTTTGACTTTTCATGTGTGTCAGATCATTTTTACAGATTTATAGCGAAAATAGCAAAATTAATACTCCATGAAAAATAATTCAACTGCAGCACATTCGCTTAGGAGCTGAATAAACCAAATTATTACATATGTACTGCAGTTTATTTTGATTCGTCCCTTAAATCAAAATTGGTATTTCCACACCTGATATGCAAATGAGTCTGAGAGAAAACAAAGTAGTCCCTTCAGGAGTACCGTTTTTCGAAACATAGAAATAAACAATATTAAGAAGTACAATATTTTTCTCTTGGGGTACATGAATATACTTGCCGAGTGAAATGAAATTTGAACAACAGTAATGGTACTTCTCGACAGTCACTTGTTTTGACAAAAACTAATTTGCATATCACCCATGCAGTAATGTTTTCGATATTTTCACAGTCGATACACAAATGAACATGGTATTTCCATTGGCTACCGAACTATTTTTATTTTGTAAACACATATTCGTCTGCTATTTTTGTCTGGTTCGAATCGTTCAGCAACATTTTTGGCATGTTAGGTGTGTACATCTCATGGAATACAACGATTGGGAGAACTTAAAGTGCCTGTGAAATAGTTGCTATTTTCACTCCTAAAATTATCCATTGATACATAAATATTATTATTTTTTTATGTTTCTAAGCATGAATTATTTTTTTAAGTGAAAAAATGTGTTTTAAACTCAATCTACGGCAACTTTATTTTTGTGTATTTTAAAACGAGGCTCCTCATTAGCTTCTTATTTGCATACAGAAATTCCCCTTGTGACGTCAGAAGTCGCATGGCAGCTTGCATTGCCGATACGTGTAAATAAGGCAAATTTCTTCTGCAGTTTTCTCGTCTTTGACTAAATTCTTTGGCTAAATGTACTTGTTTGTCGAGGAGGAATGGACCATAATGAACACATAGTATAAATTTTTGTTGCATGGGGTTGAGTTAGATGCAAAATATGTTCGTTTTGGTGTAGCTGGTCACCGTGATCGTCAGCGGCGCACGTTTGTACACTGTCGCTGGACAAAATAGAATTTGACGTCGGAATTATCTCGTTTTTTAGCAGGTTACTAGGCACGTCACTACACTGTTTTATTTCATCGATCGTCTGAGTAAAGCTTTCAAAATTAAAATAAAAGAGAACATATTTTGATAATAATATAAAAAACGACAAATCACAGTTACTAAATAAATGACAGCCGCGTGGAAATAAATTGAAATTTTGTTGAAATAGGTGAACGCGTCGGGTCACGACGAGGGCAAGTGTGTTAAAAGCGGCGTTTAATTGGATAACAAACATAATCGAGATCAACACACATACAGATAAATTCAGAGTGGATTCGAGTTAACGTGATCCATGGCGTGATTGTCATAATTATACCATCATATTAAAACTTTATTTGGTGGAACAACATTGACCAAGCCCGGATTCTTATTTCAGAAATTATTACGCAGATCAAGCTGCAAGCATGGAGGTAAAAAAGAACAGAGGTGTGAATTCGACATTCAACACAAACCACCAAACAATTCAGAAACTTTTAGCCTTCGAAAATGAAAACAATGAGCAGTGTGTAAGGGCTGTGTAATTTCCTGTTTGTCCGACGCTTCGTTTTCGTGTCACTGTCAAAATTATTGCTACCTTTTACTTAACACTAATAACAGGGACTAAATGGTCTCTATAAAACGATAATCAGGGTCGCAAAAAAGTCAACTCATTTGAAACACTTGCCGGACGTCTCTCTCTCTTCTGAAATCCGCCTTGGTGATCATGGTTCGGAATCTATTTCTTTCAAAAGTGTTGCACCAGGTTTATGTTGTCGGCGTTTCTCTTTATACCTAGTTCTTTTTTTCATGGACGAGGACAGTTTTTCCAAAAAAGGAATCTGAGGTTAAGTGGCTTTCGTCCACTGATGTCGCACCTTCGGATCGATTAGAAACGTGTGAATACTTACACTATGACAATACGTTTCACTGCAACTGCCCACAACACAACATCTAAAAACCTGCTCTCTCTCCAAAAAAAAAGAAAATAGACAAAAAAAGAAGAAAAAAAAACGCCGACTGAAAAATGTTTATCGTTTAAAAGTATACTGAATGACCAGTGTTATTACGGCTCAGGGGTATGACTTCCTCTCACATTTTGGCATTTGGTGGCGCACTTTCAGCGAGAGTCGGAAATTCGGAAACAGTCGATCGTTTCAGGATAGGTGGGCGTGGCTACAACACGAGAAATATCCCAAATTTACTTTTCATTCAAATTTCGCACATACATGTACTTTATACATGTTAGGATGTATGTCCATGACAATTTGTTTCAAAATCTGGTGAAGGATGGCCGATTGACAGCCATCTGACTTTTTGGCCTTACTACTATATTTCCACAATTTATGTACCACTTTCATTTGTATTTGGCACATACATCATACATCAAGTGTGTTTCATAATCAGATCAAAGATGGCCGAATAACGACTGTTTTTATTTTTGGCCATATTACTAACTACACGGAACACGTGTTTTGATGTAAATAAACAATCTGTTGTATACGCCACTTGGAACTCAAGTTTCAAGGACACGCTCGTGACAACCCCTCTGCGACAACCCCTCCGCTTTAATATGACGAGCACAAAGAGAACTTTGAAAAATTTAATGGGGACTGTGTCATTTTAAATGACTTGTTGATTTTGTTTAATGGTTTGCATAATATTCTCTTCAATTATTTTTGAGTTTATGTGTTCATAATTTGTACAAGTCTCTTCTAATGTTAATTCAGCCAAATACAAATGGGAATTATGGGTGGGATCTTTGACAATGTCTATGTTTATAGTTTGTTTTATTTCTACTTACAGACTTGCTTTCAAAGGCCTTCAAAATGATGGATGCTGGAGATTTCAGTTTTAGTTTCAAATGTGACTGGTGTGACTTCTCAACCAAAAACATTCTTGAGATCAAAGGCCATGTAGACAGTCATAAGAAGATAGTAGATGTCATGCAAGATGAATCAGACACAGATGAAGTATCTGTTGAAAATGCTTTAACTGAAAAGAGAAAAGGCAGCAAATCAAACATGCAAGCTAAAGTTGAAGAGGAAGATGGTGAAGTGGCAGATGATGAGGAAGATGATGAGGAAGATGAAGAAGAAGAAGAAGAAGAAGAGGAGGAGGATGTATCATCAGATGAAGGCACTAATAGGGAGAAAGATGATAATGATGCACAAAATTCTGACAAGGAATATAGTGAAGAAGAGGAAGATGAAGAAGATTGCAATGAGGAAACTTATTCCAGGCCACAATGCTCCACATCAGAACATCTAACTGATAATAGTTTGGAAGTTTCTTTTGGCAACCAAGATGAGAACCTGCAAAAAAAAGCTAGAAGAAAGCCTCCTATTCCAAAGAAAGCAATCAAAGAAGTTGTAGAGATGACCAATGAAGCATGGGAGCAAGAGGAGCGTGATTTAGCGGGAGAGGATGAATCAGCTGAGCCTGAAATTCACAATAATGATTCTGATTATGAACCTGGCAATATCCGTATTACCAGAGCTGCACCGATTGTTACACGAAGTAGGGATGAACAATTAATGATCCACCAGTTCACAGAAGGTCAGGATGCTGATGTTATTGAAAAGCCATGCAAAACAAAGTATATGTTGAATAACCCAAAACATAGTCATAAATGCAAAATCTGCTCATTTACATGTAAATTTAAATCCAATTTAATTAAACACAAACGGTCACATGAAAAAAAGAATAGTGACAGTGGGCAAAAATCTAGTGCAAGTAGATCAAATAAAAAGCCAACAGTTGCAGAAAACAGATACAGATGCAACCAGTGTGACTATACATGCAAGTTTAAATACAGACTAAAAGATCATAAAGCTTCCCAGCATAAAGTAGATAAACCATCTGATGAAAAAAAAAAAAAAATGTATGTATGTGATATATGTGGACATATCGCTCTGAACAAATATAAAATCAGCCGACATATCCGCAAGCATACTGGTGAAAAACCATTCAAGTGTGAAGAGTGTGCAATGTGTTTTTCAGAGAGGGGAAATCTTTTGAAGCATCAGGGTAGACACACATTAGAAAAAAACTTTCTTTGTGAGGAGTGTGGAAAGGCATTCAAGAGAGATATTAATCTAAGAATGCATCGCCGCATCCACAAAACTGAGAATCTGTATGAATGTGTAAACTGTGATTATAAATGTGTCAGAAAAGATATGTTGGAAAGTCATCGAGCAAGAAAGCATTTGAAAATGAAAGCATTGCTGTGTGATCACTGTGGTAAAGGATTTTACACAAAACAGGAGTTGGAATCTCATCGACGCAACAAGCATGCCCCAAGAAATATGCCACATCGCTGCATTCTATGTGATTTGTCATTTATTACTGAATATAAACTGAAGGCACACCTCAAAACCCATCCAGAATACAAACCATTCAAATGTGACTTCTGTGGTGTCTTGTTTCGGAAATCTGCTTCTTTGATTTATCACCGTCGTGTTCACACTGGTGAAAAACCACTTCAATGTGAACTTTGCACTTATGTAACATCTACACCTAGTAACATGTACAAACACCGCAAAAGAGAACACGGTATCACAAGAAGTGCACAACCTTCTGCCAAGAGAGGTAGAAAACGCAGTGGACAGAATGCCTCACACTTAGAGATCGGTGATGTGAAATTGGTATTAGAGATGCCAGCCCGCGTGCCTTTCCAAGTCGATGCAACCAGTCCACCTGTAACTTCACAACCAGTTTCCACTATGAGTACAGTGACATCATTACCATCATCAGATACTGACAACGTCTATGCAGACTATCATTACACTCAAGCTGCCATTCAACATCATCAACCACAACACCCACAATCACACTTACAACCACCACAATCACAGATTCATCCTGGAACATTGCAACCAATCACTGACCCACATGGAATACCACACCCTTCATCTCAAGATGTGATTGGTTCATATACTGTGCCACCTGTACACCAGGTGCATCAACTGCTTTTCCACCAATGATAATGTAATATATACACATTCTGACTGAATGTTATATTTATAAGTTAATAGTATTTAAAATTCATGATTTCTATCAATAATTGTACTATCCAATGAATGAGTTTTTATTCACCTTTCACTCAACATGCTATGCTATATACCGGTACATGTATAATCAGTCTGGTAAATCTACTCTATTCGCAACAAATAACAAACATTAGTGTTTATAGGTTTGTATTCATTTCTGTGTACATAGCACTCCAATTAGAGCAAATGTAAACTTCAATAGTTTTGGGTTTTAAATTCATGTCACTATAGAAATTTGTTTATCACTTTTACAAGAAATGAATAATGCAATTTTGTGGCTAGAATACATGTACGTTTCACCTGATTTCGTCTTTGCCTTTATTATTCAAAAAGTGACAATCTAATATTATTTCAATGCCTGATTATTTATATTAACTTTTTAGCTCATATTACAGATGTTGTCGGCATCAAGTACGTTTTCACATTCTTCTTAAAAGCTGTGTATGGCTTACAAGGCAGATTCCTTGGTTGCTTCTTTCTCAGATTTATTCATTTTTAATACTTATTATGTATAGATCCCTTTCATGGAGCTCTACAAGATTTGCAATCAAGATGTAACATTTGTAATTGTTATAGCAACAATCATATAAACTACTATGGTTTTGATATGGCAAAAACTTTGTGTTAACAAATATAACTGAGGCAATATCGTTTGGTTATACCACATACTCTTTGTCTTGTGTCTACTGTTCTAATTTTCATGTTCATTTTCAATAGCGGACAGTTTCATTCAGAATCTGGCATACATATAAGGGGTATTCTTGATTCCTTCTAGTAAGCGGGATGTTTCTTTGCTGAAAACAGTCAAGATTCACATGCACTAGTAAGTGGGCTGTTTTTCAAAGTGAGCTTGTTCTTACATGATCAAAAGTGAGTACAATTTTCTCCTCGCTATGGCACAGTCCCCGTTAGTTATCTAATCTAAGTTGTATAGTTTTGTTTATAGTAACGTAGTACAATACTTGTCCATATTGGGCTGGAAAATCATTAATTAAAACAAAATGGTCACCGGTCGACCATTTTGAATTGAATTGTCAAACCAATAAATCTGTACAAATATACGTATATTGAATATATAAAATCTGAACATATGGCACTAGAACTGGATTTATTAAAACAAAATTACCGCCAGTCTGCCATTTTGAATCAAGGTCCCGTAATGCTTAATGTATGTACCAAGTTTGAACAAAATCCACCTGTAAACAGCCGAGAAATGCTTGATTTTGATGATTGTTCAGTGCAAAAATGGCTGCCATTCAGTCATCTTAATTCAAATTGAAAAACGAATTGATGAGCATATGTATATAATGATGTATGTGTGAAGTTTTAATGCAATCGGTGAAGGTATGTCTAAGATATAGGTCTGACCAAACGGGGACTAATCAGTATTTTAAACATTCTTTCACATCTACAGTGGATTTGTTAAAATAACATGCTGGCATATCTGGTCATATGACCATGTATAGTTGTGCTTATTAATACAATTACATAACAATTACATAACCAAAAATGGGTTGTTGATTTACAGTATCATTTGTCAAAGATTGGTATATCTGTACTGCTTGTTCTAATTTATTGCTACAGCTTGTGACATTTTATAATCTATCAGCCCAGGCTCAATATACGGCATGGACTACAGACTCATAAAACTTGACTTTGTTACCATTTGGCATACTTCCTTAAAGCCTCTGTGCTGTGCTTCTAGGACTTATCAAACTTCTGTTAACGTACATGTACACAAGGGGTGATATATACCAGTTAATCTCTCATAAACATCAACTTTGTTGACAATCTATAAAGATAGTGATGGTTTTTCTTGTGGAAAAATTGCATTTTTTTTTGCAATGTATACAGAAAACAAGTGTACGAGGGCTGCACGATAGTTTATCTGACCTAATCTATTCAAAAAATGTGTATTTATTTATTCCATTCATACAAACAATGCTGTATTCCTAATTGTGTAACATTATTGTATAAAATTTGATCACAATCCTACAAAATGTAATAATCCAAGTGTTGATATTGCAGCACCCCCACATGATTGCCATGTGAACATAGCATTCTACATTATTATAAACATTGTATAGAACCAATTCAAACATGACGCTGTGATGTAAGAAATATGGTATCAAACACTATGCAACACAAAAACAATGGTATTAAACATGTCTGGGCACTAAATATCCTAATAGATTGAATTACAACTTCGATGAAAAAGATTTTGTTTTATTTACGTTAATGCAAAAAAAATCAGCTAAAAAACTAACACCAATCAAATAAAGCAATTCAGTGATCTGAGAGCAGGGTGCCAAGTTTGTAATATCGACCCCCTTAAAATATAAGCAAGTAATCTAACAATTAAGAGAGCTCTGCTGTCTTATAAAAAACATTGTCACAGTGATAGTTAAGTAATACATACTAAGTTCATGTCTAATTGATGCATCCCATCATGTTCAATGTACTGGAAATATGTTCATGCATGAGGAAATCTAGTTCCAGAATAGCAGAAATGCTTGAATTTGATGAATTTTCAGCACAAAAATGGTTGCTATCTTGAATGGGATTATCAAACAAATATATATGCCTACACTGTAAAACCATTTATTTTCACTGACATTTAATTTCACCGTATTTTGATGTTTTGAGTATATTCACTGTTTTAATTTCATGAATTTGTCAAAGAAACAATGAGTTTTATTGTTGTTTTTACATGTTCACATACATGTAGGTTAAATTTAGTTGATTTTACCTATCGGCGAAAATAGCGAAATTAAAAGAGTGAATAATGCATTTACAGTATGTGTGACATGATGTACAGTTTTTTATCTATAAAGTTTGAACATGATAAGTCAAGGCATGTCAGAATATAGCTCTGAAACAACATTCATTAAAACAAAAATGGCTACCAGTTGGCCATTTTTAATCCGATCTGAAAAACAAAATGATGTGCATGAGGATTTCATTATGTTCAATGCAATTCATCCATACATAGCTGAGATATTGATTTTAAGCATAACAATAGTGGTGCACATGTCTCCCTAACTATATAACACACGTGTGAAGTCTGAAAGTGTGATCATCCCAGGCATGTCCAAGATGCATGGATGTACACATACATGAATGGAGATCAATCAACAAGTTCTTGTTTTCAGACTTTGTTGGAATGGGGACTTGAAATAATGCACATGCTTGCCTTAGTGTCTGGTTAAATTAGCATGCACGATGCCCTGAAGTAGAAAAAAAACATGAATTTCACCATCACAATGCACTTGAGAACAACTCAGCCCAGACATGAACTATTATAAATACTTAAACCGCGGCTCCGGGTGTATAAAAGGAACGATGGTCACCAGTTTTCAGTATGCAAATGACACTGAAATGTGAAACATTGCTTCGGGGTACTTCGCAAAATCACTCTTTTCGACAACCTTAACGCCTGTGGTGCATTGCACACAAACATGAATATATACAATTTTGATGTTAATTTACAAGTTCGAAGCAATGTCAGTGTGACTTCTGCATAAAAGCGATGGGAAAGCATGATTCAGACAGGTGTTTTTGACTGCTCAAAATGACTGTCAGTCATGGGTTGTTAAATCTCTGGGTATTATGTAATTACAGAGTTGATGATATAAGCGATACTTATCATTGAGCTAATAAGAAATAATATCCTGTTTGTCTGGTCAATTCAGGGGCGTCGTCGGTGCTTCATGAATTGGTTTGGCCCGCGCAAGTGCGGATGGCACAGGCTGAGATGTGCACGAGAGGGGAGGGACTGTACGTAAACATTCTAAAAACTTTCTTAGTGTATGTGTGCAAAAAAAAAAAAAACGTTCGTGGTTACAGGGCTTGTAAACTTCTTATTTTTGTCAGCGGAAACAGAGGTGAACTACCGGTAGGTCAGTTACGAGAAGGGAAAAAAGATGGTTTTCTCCCCATTTTCAATGGCAAGACAAACCAAGCTGTGGGTACTGGCCTAGATTAGTTTATTGGCGGATGTGAAGGGCCTGGTTGGTCATGATAACATGAAAATAGCAGGGTTCGTTCGAGGGGGCTCGTCAACAAATACGTCCCAGACAATATGTCGAGTATGCTTCTCGAATTTAATATATGACATTCTCGACAATTTAAACAAGCAGCCTCTCAGCTGAGATAGCTCCGCTGTTAGCAATGCACATTTCAATTAAAGAACAGAAGATATCATTAGAAAATGAACAATATGTATAGTATCAAGCAATGGGACTTGCTGTCTTCAACAAGAATTCAAAAATATCACTTTTTACCAAAAATTACAAAAATATTCACCAAAATTAGAGAATTAAAGATATCATTACAAAATGAACAAATCTGAGAGAGGTCCACATGTAGTACCTATATATGTAATATCAAAGCAATTGGACTTGCGGTTTTTAACAAGAAGTCGGAAATATCACTTTTTACCAAAAATGACAAAAATATTCATCAAAATTAGAGAATTGAAGATATCAACATGAAACGAACAAACCTAAGAGAGGTCTACCCAAGGTACATATACACCAAGTATCAAAGCATTCAGGCTTGTAATTTTCAAGAAGAAGTCGAAAAAGTAAAACATTGACACGGATGACGACGACAGACAATCACTCATATGATAAGCTCCGCTCGACAAAGTCGACAGTGGAGCTAAAAATATAACTGTATCTTGAAATAAATAAATTGAAAGATACCGAAAAAAATGTTATGTTCCCTGAAATATATCCCGGCAGATTGTTCACTGTAAAAAATGCATGCGTGTCCGTGTTTTGTAACGTATGTTGCACATATGTTCATGTATAGTTAGCGTTGGGCAACTGGGTATGCCTGCCTGTGTTACACAGCCGTATCACAAAGTTTTTTTTTTTTTTTTTTTTTTAAATTTGTTGCCTTTTTTTTCATGTTGCATAACGTCACTATTGCCTAGCTGACAAGACATATTATGGCAATCATGGTTCTGTGCGATACTACATGTATACATTGTGTAGGTCATTCAAATAAACCATGATGCGCTGTTTAGTACAAGCACGGAACTAAATAAGAAGCTCCATGATGCAAGTAAGAAAACTGCTTTCATAAGATTGCGGGTGGGTGAGTGTTAAACGCGGTTCAATAAAGTCGTAAATAGCGTAATGCATGATGTTAGCTTACGGAATTAACACCTTCGGTTGAAATGATAACAGCTGTGTACCAAGTAAACTGGGCAGACCATGCAAATTACATTTCCTATGATGCACTCCCTGGTTTTGCGGAGCCACGCTTTAACAATTTCATGATTAAACACCAAGTACATTGCATTAAGTTTAACAACTAAGTAGAATGAATAAATACATTTAAATAATAATAATTATACTAATTAGTAATATCCTTCCTATAGTTGCCAAATTATAGCCACTGATTTAACTTGAAATTGTACTATACATGGAACCTATATTACTATACTGAGGACCTCTGCACAGATTGGCTTGAGGTCCACATGCAAGTTTTTCTTTCTTTTTTTTACTTCTCTCGATGGGACCCGATACATTTTGTGCATCTGGGCCATGTTGTAGCTCTGGATTAGGACCAAGCTGTACTGTGTATTCAGATCTGTAACATACAATGAAATATAATATTACTATCATAGTATTTGAAAAAATACTTAAAACATAGTTAAACTACATTGTCCTTTATTGGTATTTTTTGAAAGTGTGAAAGATTTTGTGTTCAGTGCAATTTACCCTTTATTTCATCAGGGGCATACCTGAAATCATGAACTGAACAAGCCATGCATGGCACAGTCCCCGTTTGTTATCAAATTTAAGATATATAGTTTTGTTTATAGTAATATAGCTGGAATATAACCATGTCAGGAATATGATTATGATGATTGTTTTGCTCTGGAACAGCATCAATTAAAACAAAATCAGCCATTTTGAATACATGTATTCATCTATAACATAATGAATATATAAAATTTGAACATAATCAGTCAAAGCGAGTCAGAGATATGGCTCTAGAAGCCCATTCATTAAAACAAAATGGCTGCCATCATTTTGAGTCTTATCTGATATTACAGTTTTTATGGTATAAATGTATGTCAGGCTCCTGAAAAAGACAGGAGAGACAATAGTGACATTCGGGCTGATAGAAACTGGCACATACAAATAGGATTGTGACAACACATGTACTCCGTCTAAATAAAATATGATCATCATTGTATGGTTTATGACAATAGCAATTATGGCTACCGTTAAAATCCTATTATAAACCGCGGTTTATATTACAATGTATCAAATAAAAAATTGGGATCAACAGCTCAAGTTCGGGGTGCGGTTTATATTAGGGACATATTGCAATCACTAAATGGGCGTGGTCATTTTTTCCCCACATCACTCGCACAAAACAAACAATACATCGTACAATCTTTTGAATATAAGCGTAACTCCAATTTAGATGTCCGGGAAGAGTGATAAGCCTCAGGTCACAAAAAAACTGTTTACATGAAAAAAAAAAATACATTTAATGTAATATGCATTTTTTTTTATTTTCTTCGTAACGGAAAGTATATTCTGACAGGAGTTTCAAATGAAAACAAACATTAATGCATTGCTTTATAGTAGAAAATGATCATGGTACGGCACTAAAAAGTACAGTATCGTGGCTACGGTAACGCAATCCGGCCATGCTTCGGCTCACAAGTGAATAACTTACTTGTTTTCGAACTGTTAAAATTGTTGATTATTACTCAGTAGTGATTATAACAACGCACGAAAATTAAATTCGTTGAATTGTTATCAAATGCAAGTAAAATTCAACTTAGTTTCACCGTAAGCGAATTATTTCGGTCACATGTAAAGGATCGATGCGACATCCGCCATGTAGTTTGAATGCACACGAGACATTACTTGACCGATAGGTCAAGTCGCTAATTAACCAATCAAAACGCTGGATGGTGCCCACGTGTTCAAATTACCTCAGTTCATTTAAATATGTTAATGACAGATCACCGACTTCATGGTGAACGAAACCCGGAAGCGATTTACGGATAAAGTAGTGCGATCTTTTGGCTTTGATTTCCATGGGAAAACGACGCGACTTTTTTTTTAAATCAAGAAATTAGTTGTTTTCGAAAGATAAACTGAGCATTGAAAAAGAATTTAACAGTTTTTCGGTGAGAACAGCTCATTGTCGAAAACTTGCGACACACGGACGTATTCAAAAGGAGTATTGACACAAGTTGTCACAAGACAAAAGCAGTTTCACTGCGTGTTTGACATCCTAAACACTACTGAACAATAAAGAGGTGTGAATATTTTTAGGCACGTTGTCGAAACAAAATGAATAGGATTAGGAACTATGTACCAGCTCGTTGAAACAAAGTCGGTCACGGTCTTGTTGAATTGGGGGTGCGGTTAGTAATAGGTACTTTTCATGTTTTCAATTTTTGTTGAGAACTCTTTAACACTGAAGCCGAAATTGGGGGTGCGGTTACTATTTGGTATGCGGTTTATAATAGGATTTTAACAGTACTTTCTTTTGTATCATCTTGAACTCACATTAAGTGTTCTCTACTGGGTCCTTTCACCAGGCAAGAGTCATGACCTGATGGTTTGCAGCACAGCAACGACTTGTATCCTCCGACTATAGTTTCATATTGCACCACAACAGGCCTTGCTACATGTGCTTGTATGGGTCTTGTACGAGTCATAGATGTTACAGCAGGTCTGGAACTTGAAGATGATACTGTGGATGGTCTGGAAATGGATTCTTCTTCTTCACTGGAACTAAAATGACAATAATCAATAGTATCATTATATATTTTATCAGATGCTG